AGCAAACTGCTTATCCTCTGCCTGCCTGTCGCTGATTGGCTGGTGTCCCGTCGCACCTGCCCTCCGCCTCCACCACAAGTCGACGTCTGGGCTGCAGTGCGCTAGTCTCGTCAGAATATCTCAGTGCTCCAAGCAGTTGACATCTCTTGCTGGTAGACTAAGCCTTGGCTTTCGTGTACTAAGGGAGGTGGCAGCTCGAAGCCAGTATTCCAGCACCACTAATATTTTATTTTGCTATCACTGTAACATACTTGTCTTAACGTAACTTTTCATTTGCCAGTGATTATTCATATTATTTTGTTTGTTGACTTGTCTTGCCTATTTTATGTGATTAACTTTATTTATGTCTTGTTTTTCTAGAGTAATTAAAATTTCATTGTTTATATACTTGTGTTTTGTGTGTCTTCCCATTACCTTACCACAGACGAAAGGACCAACTTTTCTCTTTTTTTTTGGTTATGTGACGAGGCCCTGCCCCTAGCTTTTGAAACAGCCGAACACCAACGCTTTACCGTCACAATATATATATATATATATATATATATATATATATATATATATATATATATATATATATATATATATATATATATATATATATATATGTCGTACCTAGTAGCCAGAACGCACTTCTCAGCCTACTATGCAAGGCCCGATTTGCCTAATAAGCCAAGTTTTCATGAATTAATGTTTTTTCGACTACCTAACCTACCTAACCTAACCTAACCTAACTTTTTCTGCTACCTAACCTAACCTAACCTATAAAGATAGGTTAGGTTAGGTTAGGTAGGGTTGGTTAAGTTCGGTCATATATCTACGTTAATTTTAACTCCAATAAAAAATATTGACTTCATACATAATGAAATGGGTAGCTTTATCATTTCATAAGAAAAAAATAGAGAAAATATATTAATTCAGGAAAACTTGGCTTATTAGGCAAATCGGGCCTTGCATAGTAGGCCGAGAAGTGCATTCTGGCTACTAGGTACGACATATATATACATATATACATATATATATATATATATATATATATATATATATATATATATATATATATATATATATATATATATATATATATATATCGTACCTAATAGCCAGAACGCACTTCTCAGCCTACTATGCAAGGCTCGATTTGCCTAATAAGCCAAGTTTTCATGAACTAATGCTTTTTCGACTACCTAACCTACCTAACCTAACCTAACCTAACATTTTCGGCAACCTAACCTAACCTAACTTATAAAGATAGGTTAGGTTAGGTTAGGTAGGGTTGGTTAGGTTCGGTCATATATCTACGTTAATTTTAACTCCAATAAAAAAAAATGACCTCATACATAATGAAATGGGTAGCTTTACCATTTCATAAGAAAAAAATTAGAGAAAATATATTAATTCAGGAAAACTTGACTTATTAGGCAAATCTGGCCTTGCATAGTAGGCTGAGAAGTGCGTTCTGGCTACTAGGTACGACATATATATATATATATATATATATATATATATATATATATATATATATATATATATATATATATATATATATATATATATATATATATATATATAACTGAAAACTCACACCCCAGAAGTGACTCGAACCCATACTCCCAGAAGCAACGCAACTGGTATGTACAAGACGCCTTAATCCACTTGACCATCACGACCGGACAAAATGAGGTGATAGCCGAGGCTATTTGAACCACCCCACCGCCGGCACTCGGATAGTTATCTTGGGCATAGCATTTTACCAAATCACCTCATTCTTTGGGGCACACGTGAGGAACACAAATGCGAACAAGCCTGAATGGTCCCCAGGACAATATGCAACTGAAAACTCACACCCCAGAAGTGACTCGAACCCATACTCCCAGAAGCAACGCAACTGGTATGTACAAGACGCCTTAATCCACTTGACCATCACGACCGGACAAAATGAGGTGATAGCCGAGGCTATTTGAACCACCCCACCGCCGGCACTCGGATAAAATGGTAAAATGCTATGCCCAAGATTACTATCCGAGTGCCGGCGGTGGGGTGGTTCAAATAGCCTCGGCTATCACCTCATTTTGTCCGGTCGTGATGGTCAAGTGGATTAAGGCGTCTTGTACATACCAGTTGCGTTGCTTCTGGGAGTATGGGTTCGAGTCACTTCTGGGGTGTGAGTTTTCAGTTGCATATTGTCCTGGGGACCATTCAGGCTTGTTCGCATATATATATATATATATATATATATATATATATATATATATATATATATATATATATATATATATATATATATATATATATATATATATATACACGTGTGCTACCGAAGATGCTCTTCGTTAACTCTTATTAACATTACGAGGCGGAGTTCGAATGGTTATTACAAAGTTTCCTGCTGCCAGAAATATGGCCGGGGATGAGGTGAAGGTGAAGCACCTCATGCTTCCTTGATGGATGGGGCAGTATGTTGCATGTTCCGTCTTGTTATAGAAGTTAGTAGAGTGGAATTTGATGTTAGTTGGCTGTTGATAGATCGTTTAGTTTCTTAGATGAATAGTGCCTCGCCAGTGCCCAATCTTTCCTTGTCGGTGTATCTGTTGATTATTTTGTTATCTATCGGATTTCTCTGGTGATGGTCTGGTTATGGGTAGAGACTATATGTTCCTTAATAAGTCCTTGCTGCTTGTGCATTGTTAGGCGTCTGGAAACAGATGGTGTCCTCTTGCCTATATATTGAATTCGTTGGGGCTGACAGTCCCCAAGTAGGCATGTGAAGGGATAGACGACATTTGTCTTTCAAAGGGCTTTATTTGGTGTCAAGAGAGCTTTTTATGAGCAAATTGGCAGTCTTCTTGCTCTTATAGCATATTATTAGTTCAATCTTCTGGTTAGGGTCACATTACTATCAATAATGTTTTTCAAGACTCTCTTTTTCGTTCTGTGGGCCGTGGAGAATTTCCTGTACAATATTTTAATGGTAACAAGTGATATGTACTGTTGTCTGACATGTCTGAGATCTCCTTGCGGCTCACCTTCCTATTGATGACGTCTTTGACATATCCGTTAGAGTATCCATTATTGATCAGGACCTACCTGACTCTAGCTGAGTCCCTCGTCGTCCTGCTTCCATCTGCAAGTGGGTGTGAGGGCACTACTGACATAGGCATTCACAACATTCTGCTTGTACCTATCAGGGCTCTCACTTTTAGAATAAATGCACATTCCTATGTTGGTTCCCTCAGTGTAGACTGTGGTGTCTACACTAAGGGAACCGTATCTACACTGGAATCTACATTGTAGATACGCTTGGTATCTGTAGATCTGTATAAAGAACTGTTACATCAAGGAAAGGTAGTCTACCTCCACTCTCAATCTCGTAAGTAAACCTTAGTACTGAACTTCGCTCGAATGCATCCTTAAGCCGCAACAAGTGTTCAGTATCAGGTACCTGGAGGAGCATGTAGTCTACATATTTATAGTATACGCTCGGCTTCAGGCCCATGCAAACAAGGACTTTCTGTTCGACGGTACTCATGTAAAAATGAACAAATAGGACACCAAATGGGGCACCCATAGCGACGCCGTCTACCTGTCTACACGCGCCCATCAAGACTGGGGAACACGCCTCTTTGGTACATGCTACGAGTAGCTTCCTGCGTGTGCCTTCTGGGATGTCTAGAGGAGTACGAGCTGGATCCCAGTAAACTCCCTCCATCATCATTCCAATTCTCTGCTAACTCCATACGCATGGGTAAAATCGCGCAGTGGGAATTTATTCATTTATTTAATGTTTATTTTAATTTCTTATTTTATTAATTTATTTCTTAAGTACTTATATTTTAATTTAAGTGGACTGTATGATTCTATTTTATCCTGCCAGGGGGTTTCCCTTCCCAAACTTGGGGGTTTAGTAATGATATCCCAATCGAAATTAATCGATTGATTTAATTACACTATACTAAGGGTTAGTCTACTAACTAATAATGGTTATTAAAAAAAGGGCAGCACAGCTTAGTAGTTATGTAGAATGTTGCTTATTTAATAAGCCATGCACATGTTCTGATCAAATAATCCGTATCGTCTTGTGGTCAAGTAAATATGGCGTCAGGGCATGTTCCGCGTAGAACAAAATGATTCGTTGCCAATGCCTTAAGTCGTCACAGCTTACCTGCCGGATTAATACACCGTAAAAGATGCAACAACACCCTATAACATATATATCATGACATTGGATATTATAAGTTAAATGTGATGCGCTCACCCGTTTGGGTATCTCTCGCGCCTCTTAACCGAATTGACAGTAACTAATATTATCAGGCCTGAATTGATCTATTAAGAGGTCAAAACGGACACAAGGTACATCTCAACAAATGGTAAGGTGGCTATGCAGTGTGGCTCCAAATAACTCGTGGTATTCGACGATTGTTAGAGTTAGTGTTAGTATTTGCCTAACATGATAGCATTTGCTTGGTATGCTTGGAGTTTGAAGTTAGTGTCGGAATTTCTGACATTACGTACCATGCACCTTCGGCCTTAGGTCTCCAAAGGAATTTGTTGACTTATTGTAGGGGTGGTGGGCATCAGGAGTGAGAGTCTCTCTTGATGTTGAGGGGCTGTTCACCAATGTGCTCGTGGAGGAGACTGCTGGAATGATGATGGACAGAGTTAATGCGGATTCAGTTTGTATTCTCCTTGACGTCCTAGAAGGCACCTTTAGGAAGCTACTCGAAGCACGTAACAAAGAGGCATGAAACATTTGGTGGGTCGTGTTCCAGGGAAATTAAGCTTACCATGACCAATGGGGAAGGGAAAACTCTGAATCTGGTAACAGGAGTCAGCAGTCGTTTGTTCCTGTACCAACCTGTGTAAAAAAACCACTCAAGCATATTTTTACTTTTGTATTCAAAGATTTTCATAATACAGTCATATTAAATAAATGTAATTACGTTATACGTTCTGACATTAAATAAATTTTGTTAATTACTACATTTTTGCAATTATTATAATACCTTAGAACTGAAATCAAATTGTGGATTTCCAATCTTGATAAATGTATTAGTCATCTGTGCTTGCAGGAGGAAGGCATTGTAGTTTGTCTGTCCATTTACCAGAACGAACAACACCAGCAAGAAGATACAATACGAGCCAACATCTCGTAGCACTACGTTCATTTCTCTCTTCTCTGTAAGACGAGTGGCTATAGCAGCAACCTCTGCTTCACTTGAGTCCACTCCACCCATCACATGCACCTACAAGTTTAAAATAGTTAATAAATCTATGTAAATCAAAGTGTAAATGTTCGTTTGTTCAAAATCGCTAATCTCCGACAGTTCTTCACCGATTGCTTTGAAATTTTCGCACAATGATCCATTCGCATCCGCGCGGGTTTTTATATACATGCTATATAGACGTAACGTCTGTCACAGGAAAAAATGTTTTTTTTTTAAACTGTGTTTTTCATGTGAGGTAAATCTTCGAAACCTCTTTACCGATTGATTTGAAATTTTGAAACAACGTTACATTCAAATAGGCGTGTGTTTTTATATACCTATTATATACATGCCTCACCTGTGACAGGAAAAACATGTTTTTTTTTTAAATACAGTGCCATCTGTTGGACGTAAGAACAACACAAGCTGTAATCTCCAAAAGTTCTTCACCGATTGCTTTGAAATTTTAACACAACGTTCTATTCGAATACAGGCGTGTTTTTATATACCTACTATATAGATGCCACACCTGTGACAGGTAACAACATGCTTTTTTTTTTTAAACAGTGCCATCTATTGCACATAATAGCAACACACACTATACTAAATATGTTATGATTTAATTTCAATGTTTCCGATTGCATTGATAAATCGAATTTTCATAGATTTCGATTTATTTTCTTTCTAATTTAATTATGGATGCTATTCAATATCATCCATTTAACACGTATGGCACTTGGAGATATTAATAGGAGCTGCCTCGTATGAGCCAATAGGCCTTCTGCAGTTACCTTCTTTTTTATATTTCCTTTCCTTCGCTTATTCTTGGTGGTCAGGTGATCTGCCCAGGCGGGTTTAAAGGTCTGATCAGCAATGTTTTCTTATTTTCATTCTACTTTGCTCTGATGAAGGCGAATTAGCCGAAAACGCGTTAAGCATTCTCTAATTTTCACATGTGGTTATTCTGCATACTTGGATCATTGTTTTATATATATATATATATATATATATATATATATATATATATATATATATATATATATATATATATATATATATATATATATATATATATATATATATATATATATATTAGTATATTTTGGTAGCAGTCTTTCCTGTAGACATATATTATTAAATATGACCGAAAAAGTAAGATTAATAATTCTAACACGAATTTTCTCAATCTTTCGTACATTACGCTTCACTGTTGGAGGTAAATCAAAAATCAATTCTCCAAAATTCATTTTTATTTCTAGTCTGACGCGACACGGGCGCGTTTCGTAAAACTTATTACATTTTCAAAGACTTTAGTTCACAAATACACAACTGAATAGAACTTACGTATCTCCGATTTTATATCTACATTTGAGTGAGGTGGAAGGGGTGATGTGGCATTAACACAAGACAGAACAAAGTGTGGTATTAATAGGGTATTAATTTCATCAACACAAGACAGAACAAGAGTATTAATAGGGTATTAATTTCATCAACACAAGACAGAACACGAAACAATGGATATTGAATAGAAGTGTTTGTAGAAAGCCTATTGGTCCATATTTCTTGATGCTTCTATATTGGAGCGGAGTCTTGAGGTGGGTAGAATATAGTTGTGCAATAATTGGCTGTTGATTGCTGGTGTTGACTTCTTGATGTGTAGTGCCTCGCAAACGTCAAGCCGCCTGCTATCGCTGTATCTATCGATGATTTCTGTGTTGTTTACTAGGATTTCTCTGGCGATGGTTTGGTTGTGGGAAGAGATGGTTTGGTTTGGTTGTGTCTCTTCCCACAACCAAACCAAACCATCTCTTCCCACAACCAAACCATCGCCAGAGAAATCCTAGTAAACAACACAGAAATCATCGATAGATACAGCGATAGCAGGCGGCTTGACGTTTGCGAGGCACTACACATCAAGAAGTCAACACCAGCAATCAACAGCCAATTATTGCACAACTATATTCTACCCACCTCAAGACTCCGCTCCAATATAGAAGCATCAAGAAATATGGACCAATAGGCTTTCTACAAACACTTCTATTCAATATCCATTGTTTCGTGTTCTGTCTTGTGTTGATGAAATTAATACCCTATTAATACTCTTGTTCTGTCTTGTGTTGATGAAATTAATACCCTATTAATACCACATTTTGTTCTGTCTTGTGTTAATGCCACATCACCCCTTCCACCTCACTCAAATGTAGATATAAAATCGGAGATACGTAAGTTCTATTCAGTTGTGTATTTGTGAACTAAAGTCTTTGAAAATGTAATAAGTTTTACGAAACGCGCCCGTGTCTCGTCAGACTAGAAATAAAAATGAATTTTGGAGAATTGATTTTTGATTTACCTCCAACAGTGAAGCGTAATGTACGAAAGATTGAGAAAATTCGTGTTAGAATTATTAATCTTACTTTTTCGGTCATATTTAATAATATATATATATATATATATATATATATATATATATATATATATATATATATATATATATATATATATATATATATATGGAAACACACACATTTCCCCAAAGGCACAATACAAATAATAAATAAAGGCACAATAAAGCAAAAGGGTGATCGTAGTCCTCCATTCAACAGGGAAGTAATCTTTCTTCAATATATGATAACACATTTGTATTTAGTTCTGGGATGTATTCACCTAGTTGTGCTTGCGGGGGTTGAGTTTTGGCTCTTTGGTCCCACCTCTCAACTGTCAATTAACTGGTGTACAGATTCTTGAGCCCACTGGGCCCTATCACATATACATTTATAACTATGTATCGAGTCTGCCTCCACCACATCACTGCTTAATGCATTCCATTTGTTAACTACTCTAACACTGAAAGAATTCTTTCCAACGTCCCTGTGGCTCATTTGGGTACTCAGTTTCCACCTGTGTCCCCTTGTTCGTGTTCCGTCAGTGCTAAAGAGTGTGTCTATGTCCACCCTGTCAATTCCCCTGAGATTTTTGTAGGTGGTTATCATGTCTCCCCTTACTCTTCTCTTTTCCAGGGGCGTCAGGTTCTGCTCCCTTAGTCTTTCCTCGTAGCTCATACCTCTCAGTTCCGGGACTACTTTGGTGGTATACCTCTGAATCTTCTCTAACTTTGTCTTGTGTTTAACTAGGTATGGACTCCAGGCTGGAGTAGCATATTCCATGATTGGTTTGACAGAACTGGTATACAGGGTCCTGAACAATTCCTTACACGTGTTTCTAAAGGCAGTTCTTATGTTGGCCAGCCTAGCATATGCCGCTGATGACATCCTTTTGATACGGCTTCTGGGGACAGGTTCGGTGTGATATCAACCCCACAATCTTTTTTCTCCCGTAATATGGGTTACGGGAGATGACGAATCAGCTTATAATGACTCTTAACAGGCTCCCGCTGTGGACTGAACAAGGTCAGGGCAGACTGTTGTTACGAGAGGAAATATATTGTTCTAAATGAACTGAGAAAATGTGGAAAAGTCTAATAGATACATTTCTATTTGAGGTTCACAATAAGTAATTTAAGTGATGGATGTGAACAGCCTAATGGTGGAAAAGTAAGAGTCGAGTGTATTATAAATTGATTAGGGTTCAGAATTACCGTTTCATTAAAAAATGATTACAGGAGAAGTTTTTTCGAGTATATTTAATGGCTGGTATATAACGAAATACTTTATAGTGAGTAATCACACTAACGTGACTGAATCAATGAAAATATCCGTAAGATTGAAAGAGGAGCGTCAGAGGTAGAACTTTCCTGGAGGACAGAGCCAGAGTGCATGGAGGGATTGTGTGAAGCTCTGGTCCGGCTTCAGTGGAAGCCTCAGGAACCCTCGTGAGTTCAGTAGTACCTCAGGTTGCAATCCTCTTGGCCATGTCGTGGGCTAGTCGTCTAGAGCGTGTCCCTGGGAACACCCACCGCATAAGTTCGAATCCTCATCACGGCTCCTACGGATTTTCCCTATTTTACAGTGTTCGGTTATATGTGTTGTTACTACAGGGGTCTGACGGTTGAGTGGACAGCGCTCGGGATTCGTAGACCTAAGGTTCCGGGTTCGATCCCGGCGGAGGCGGATACGAATAGTTTCTTTCACCCTGGTGCTCTGTTCACCTAGCAGTAAATAGGTACCTGGGAGTTAGACAGCTGCTACGGGCTGCTTCCTAGGGGTGTATAACAAAAACGAGGCCTGGTCGAGGACCGGGCCGCGGGGACGCTAAGCCCGAAATCATCTCAAGATACAAAACACAATATGTTTCTTTGATAATTGAAAATATATAATTGACTTGCCTTGCGTTTGACGGAGGGGTCCATTGGCTGAACATTCTTCCATTCCTCATCATAGCGAAGTTCAGGCAATTCTTCATCACAGTCTATGTCTTCAGTCATGGTGTTCTGAGCCTTGCAACAAACTACTCCAATTGTGGTTGTTAAAAGTACCTTGAGCCACTGAGTAACAAGAACAGATATGAAGAAAGAAATAATGAAGGAGGAGAACCACTTCACAGATTTGATCTCTCCCCACATGATTCCGTACGACCACACGAAGAACGCGCAGACGCCTATGCCGGCCAGTATGAGGAGCCAAGCCAGCCATCGCGTCCACCACGGAATGCATCTCACAGGACTCGAATCTTTGCTGCGGTTACTGCGTGTCTGATGGGTCGTTAAGTCATAGTCAGTCAACAGGTCGTCTTTCTCTGTGTCCGTCCCACTTTCGATGTGCTGATTCCTCCGTTGCTTGGCTGCAGCTTCTAGTGAGCGGCACTTCTTTAGTTTGCGAGGTCTCGATCTTTTGAAGATAAATACGAGTAGAAAAATTACAGGATAAGCCATAATGCCAGAAGCCAAGCCAATGATGACCTGTTGAATTGATAAGGTGAAGGAGCTGTACTCAAACACACCGGTGCGAGGCGTGTCACTAAGTATATGGTAGCAGGCAGCGTTGATCAACATTGACAAGTACAGGTATAATGTAGCCACTGATACTCGTTCTTTTCTACTGTACCGGGAGCCGGTAGGTCGCAGGAATATTGATATCCACATGTGATCTTCATTTGCACCTCTATTTCCCTTGTTGTAGAAACCTGTGATGAATTCTTCATTAGTCTCGCCGTCTGAGGGCTCCAGCAATACGTCAATTTTCTTGTCGTCGTGATCTAAAGCAAGCCAGGTGTTTGCATGAAATATAAACTTGTCTCGCGTCTGAAGGTCGCGGATCACTACTGTCTGCAGCTGCCAGCTGTCAAATGGAGACCTGCCGGTGTTGTCATGCCAGATGCGTAGGGTGTCAATATTTCCCAGGGGTCCATGGGTGCTCATCACAAACACATCAACACTGTAGCGGTGATATCGTCTGTTGTCTGATGGTGGCAGAGCTCTGACACCTGTTTCATCATATTCTCCTGATACAATAAACTGGATGTTAGAGTCAGTTCCAGCTTCTTTGTCGGGCCCGGTGGTGAAAGTTACTTCATATAAATATTTATCTTCAACCTTATTATCCTCCAGGGCAGTAACTCCTCGATACTGAACATCTCTTTTGTCCATAAAACGAGCCCAAATCATCATTATTACATAGCAAACGAGAGTTATGATGATAACTAGGTATATTATCAGGTTGTTAACAAAACCGGCTGCAGCGAATATGTAGTCAAAATCAATCGCGTTTGGCGAAGGAGAATATCCAGAACCAAAGGAAGTTAAATGAAGAGTGTGGCAACTAGTGTGGGTGCTGTTAGCGTCCACAACCGTCATGCCGATGCCTGACCAAACATCAATTGTTGAGTTGTAGAAGTAACATCCCGATGTTATCACACGGAACGTATAGTTAAAGTTGAAGTCAACACTAAAATTTTCTTTCTGCAAAGTAGCATTGCTTCTAGGGTCAGGAAGAGTGACATTATCTTTCAATATGGCTACTGCAACATAAAAGTTCCCAGTTCTGTTCTTATTGTCTATGTTATTTACAAACCATGAATATGTTCCATTTTCATTAAGAGTAAAATTTTTCACATAGGAAATCGTGTCATACTGAGATGGCGTTGGTAATCTCTTGTAGTCAATTAGAATAACCAACTTGGGCGGCGTGTTTCCGTCCGGATGAATCTCTACAGTGAAAGCAGAATCGGCACTGGACACGTTGAAGGAATGGTACACAAAGGGGACGAGATCATTAATATCAGTATTTCCCACAACAGAAACAGGATCAGGTAATGACTCAGGACGTCGAGGAATTACCAGGGTTATTGGCTGTGTTTCATTGTCAACAGTGACGTTCTCATCTTCCACAAATACACTAAGAGTTATGACAGTAGTCTCCTTTGACAGATACGTCATACTCTCTGGGTAAACGTGAGTTAAACAGGGCCACACCACAGCTGTGAAGCCTACAACATTTGTGCAATCACTGTAATTTTGACTATAACGAGAGGGGCAAAATGACCCTGGAAATGCCACTGAAGCGTTCAAACTATTCTGAGGGCGTATCTCCACTCCATCCGCTAAGGTGTCCTCTGAAATCTTGGTAACCAACATTCCTGTTCCACTGTCTCCTTGCTCAATGATGTTCTCCCCAACAACACATTTGCCTAAAATAACACTGCCAAGAGAGTCAACTAGTTGAAACATTTTCTGAACCATGCCCTTTGCTCTTTGTCTTGTGATTTCCAGCACATTTTGCTTCATTTGGGTTACAGGGTCTAAGGGTATTACAAACCCTATTTTCGTTTGATCAATACCTGTTTCATAGTCAAGAGAAGAAGCCTTGGCCAAGTCTCCAGGCGGGCTGAGTGTTGGGTTCTCAATAACTTCATTCATACTTTTGAGAATGCAAACTGCAGCATCCAAAAAGCTAGAGGCAAATGGCTGTATGTCATATGGTGAGTAAATAGGAGTAACATTTAACTTTCCCATCATTTTATTCATAAAGTTCAGGCTTTTTTCCCGGAAATCCATATCAACAGTAAAAGCAGCTTTTTCTTGAGTCAAAACGCCACAAGCAGAGGATTTCAAGACTCCAGCACCAACACTAAGTTGAGATAATGAAGCAAAGTCCATAGTATCAGCAGCAAAATCCAGAGACTCTTTATTCATATTGGACACTTGAGTAAGCCTGTCGTTGATTTCACTTGCTGACATGTTACTGAAAGAACTGTCACTTAATGAAAGCCAATCAGCGTGATCTTTAATGGATGCAAGTGAGATCAACACCATCGCCATTGTTGTTTGGTCACCTATTGCTGCCAAGTTACGAAGAACACTTGAAGGATTGTATGACTGGAATTCTTCCTTTGTAATCATCGAGGCATTCACCTTGCCAACATACACATTCGTGAAACTCCCAAACTTATCTGCAATCCTGCACCAGACGTCAAAAATACCCACTGGAAAGATCAGATTCACAGTATTAAACCCCGATGATGCTAGAGTTATTTCGGTGGTCGAGTGAGGGTAATAGAAAGTATAAGAGTCAATCCCAATACCTTCTGGGTCCTTCCAATTGTTACAACTTGCCACTGTGGAATCCAGCAGAGCTCGAAGTGAGTTCGTGTTGAGTACACAAGCCCCGCTCTTTGGCGGACCGTTTGGAACCATTATCACCTCTGCAAACCTATAAACAATGCCATGTTATTATATATAATTTATACTGTAAATTATATTTATACTGTTTATACATTAGAAATTATATTTATGCTGTAAAATTAAATTATATTTATACTGTAAATTAAATTACATACTGTCGTTATAATTTATAACGACTTCAATAAAATAACAATATCTCTGAATTTGTACTCATGTATCTTTTAGCTGATATCCGGTTACCTGTTTAATATTAATATTATAGGAGATAATACGCATACCTATACTATTGGGAAGCCAACCATCCCAACAATATAGATTAGCATGTCTTCACAGCTCTCAGTGTTGTATATTTATATAATGACACTTATTTACTTTTACAAATGAAATGGTATTGCTGGTAAATACACAAGGAACAAATTAAGGAATACAATCCCTTATTTACACATGAGTGGAGAAGTGTTATATATACAAATATATAATTGGATGCTTAATTCCTGGACGCTATAAATAACAAATCATGAACTCTATATTTATTTTGCAACGCGTTCAAGCTCAACAAGCCACAATGTTGGATAGAAAACAGGAGATGTTTTTTCACCCATAAGTTTATAAACCCGTGGAACAGCCTACCCACCGAAGCCGTGAACGCCGAAACTATGCTGTTTTAAAACACAGCTACAAAAGATTATCTTGACAAATGGGGGAACCTTTAACAAGCCGCCGGCTTTCTGCCCATTAGTGGCCTACAGGTAAATTCAGGTAAATTTTAATACAGCAATCAGGAACGACAGGAAGTTTATGAGAGTGACGTTTGGAGGTGGGTTGAGACAAGCACCTGTCCAGAACATTTGTCTCGTGGCGTAATACCATCGGCAGTGACCATCACTGTTTTACAGGTAAAGACAAATCTCAAATGGTTAATTATATACAAATAATGAACAAGATATGCATTGTACTGAAACGTAATTCTTCGATGCAAAGGGGCTGAACACAGAGATCACAATGGCATAATATGTCACTGCAAAAACATTTGTGGCAATGTGGTGATCCGGCGTTGTAGTGACTCCCAGACACCTGCTTTAACCCACTCAGCCACGATAGGAAAAAAGTCATTCAACCCGGAACAGGGAAGGTCCTCACCGTAATCACCTTAGCTAAACACAATTATAATGATAACCATCTTCTTGAGATGATTTCGGGGCTTTTTAGTGTCCCCGCGGCCCGGTCCTCGACCAGGCCTCCACCCCCAGGAAGCAGCCCGTGACAGCTGACTAACACCCAGGTACCTATTTACTGCTAGGTAACAGGGGCATAGGGTGAAAGAAACTCTGCCCATTGTTTCTCGCCGGCGCCCGGGATCGAACCCGGGACCACAGGATCACAAGTCCAGCGTGCTCTCCGCTCGGCCGACCGGCTCCGATCTTAATTGAAAACAATCTTCAACATTTTAACCGTCTACACTGTACTTGACCATCTACACTGCACTTGACCATCTACACTGTACTTGACCATCTACACTGTACTTGACCATCTACACTGTGCTTGACCATCTACACTGCACTTGACCATCTACACTGCACTTGACCATCTACACTGTGCTTGACCATCTACACTGTACTTGACCATCTACACTGTACTTGACCATCTACACTGTGCTTGACCATCTACACTGCACTTGACCATCTACACTGCACTTGACCATCTACACTGTACTTGACCATCTACACTGTGCTTGACCATCTACACTGTACTTGACTATCTACACTGTACTTGACCATATACACTGTACTTGACCATCTACACTGTACTTGACCATCTACACTGTGCTTGACCATCTACACTGTACTTGACCATCTACACTGTACTTGACCATCTACACTGTACTTGACCATCTACACTGTACTTGACCATCTACACTGTACTTGACCATCTACACTGTACTTGACCATCTACACTGCACTTGACCATCTACACTGCACTTGACCATCTACACTGTACTTGACCATCAACACTGTACTTGACCATCCACACTGTACTTGACCATCTACACTGCACTTGACCATCTACACTGTACTTGACCATCTACACTGTACTTGACCATCTACACTGTGCTTGACCATCTACAATGTACTTGACCATCTACACTGTGCTTGACCATCTACACTGTACTTGACCATCTACACTGTACTTGACCATCTACACTGTACTTGACCATCTACACTGTACTTGACCATCTACACTGTACTTGACCATCTACACTGTACTTGACCATCTACACTGTGCTTGACCATCTACACTGTACTTGACCATCTACACTGTACTTGACCATCTACACTGCACTTGACCATCTACACTGCACTTGACCATCTACACTGTACTTGACCATCAACACTGTACTTGACCATCTACACTGTACTTGACCATCTACACTGCACTTGATCATCTACACTGTACTTGACCATCTACACTGTACTTGACCATCTACACTGTGCTTGACCATCTACACTGCACTTGACCATCTACACTACACTTGACCATCTACACTGCACTTGACCATCTACACTGTACTTGACCATCTACACTGCACTTGACCATCTACACTGTACTTGACCATCTACACTGCACTTGACCATCTACACTGCACTTGACCATCTACACTGTACTTGACCATCTACACTGCACTTGACCATCTACACTGCACTTGACCATCTACACTGTACTTGACCATCTACACTGTGCTTGACCATCTACACTGCACTTGACCATCTACACTGTACTTGACCATCTACACTGTGCTTGACCATCTACACTGCACTTGACCATCTACACTACACTTGACCATCTACACTGCACTTGACCATCTACACTGCACTTGACCATCTACACTGCACTTTACCATCTAAAGATGGATGGAAGGATAGATAGATGCATGAATGGATAGATGTACGGAGCGATGGGGAGACAGACGGATAGATGTATGGATAGACGGATGGATAGATTAGGAGATAGATGGATAGATGTATGGATATAGATGGACGAAGAGATGGATAGATTGATGGACATATAGAGGGATAGATCGATAGATGAACGGATAGATGAATAAATGGATAGATTGATAGAAGGATGGATGGATGGAGAAATAGATAAATGGATAGAGTGCTGGATAGATAGATAGAAGAATGCAGAACAATAAAAATAATCAATATTGCTCAACCAGGCCTCAAACAGATCACGTGTTGATGAATTCGTGGATGAATTATCGAATATAATTTCTGAATATACCAGAAAAGAGTTATCGAGCTCATAGGAAGAACAAACCAGATTTTTTTGATTAGCTAATATAGAAGCCAAAGCTTTAGAGTTCAAGATAATATGGATACCCAACATAAAGAAACCCACTTCCCAGGGAGAACAAACCTTGAAGTTTCAGATCAAATAAACCCTAAAAGTTCATATTATTTTTTATTTATTTATTTATATATTTATTTATTTATTTATACACGAGTTCTTATTTTCTTGTAAAACCACAAAGACACATAGCGTTTCTGGCAGGTCCTTAATCCTAATTTTCCCCGGAATACGACCCGCCAAATCGTTTAACAACCAGGTACCTGGTTGATACCTGGTTGATGGGGTTCTGGGAGTTCTTCTACTCCCCAAGCCCGGCCCGAGGCCAGGCTTGACTTGTGAGAGTTTGGTCCACTAGGCTGTTGCTTGGAGCGGCCCGCAGGCCCACATACCCACCACAGCCCGGTTGGTCCGGCACTCCTCGAAGGAAACAATCTAGTTTCCTCTTGAAGATGTCCACGGTTGTTCCTGTAATATTTCTGATGCTCACTGGAGGACGTTGAACAACCACGGACCTCTGATGTTCATTCAGTGTTCTCTGATTGTGCCCATGGCACCTCTGCTCTTCACTGGTTCTATTCTGCATTTTCTTCCATGTCGTTCACTCCAGTACGTTGTTATTTTACTGTGCAGATTTGGGACCTGTCCCTCCAGTATTTTCCATCTGTATATTATTTGGTATCTCTCTCGTCTCCTTTCTAGTGAGTACATTTGGAGAGCTTTGAGACGATCCCAATAATTTAGGTGCTTTATCTCGTCTATGCGTGCCGTATATGTTCTCTGTATTCCCTCAATTTCAGCAATCTCTCCTGCTCTGAAGGGGAAAGTGAGTACTGAGCAGTACTCAAGACGGGACAACACAAGTGATTTGAAGAGTACAACCATTGTGATGGAATCCCTGGACTTGAAGGTTCTCGTAATCCATCCTATCATTTTTCTGGCTGACGCAATACTTGCTTGGTTATGCTCCCTAAACGTTAGGTCGTCGGACATCATTATTCCCAAATCCTTGACATGCTGTTTTCCTTCTATGGGCAGATTCGATTGTGTTTTGTACCCTGTATTATGTTTAAGATCCTCATTTTTGCCGTATCTGAGTACCTGGCATTTATCAGCGTTAAATATCATGTTATTTTCTGCTGCCCAATCGAAAACTTTGTTAATATCTGTTTGTAGTTTATCAATGTCTTCAGCAGAGGTAATTTTCATGCTGATTTTTGTATCATCTGCAAAGAATGACACGAAGCTGTGACTTGTGTTTTTGTCTCTATCTGATATGAGAATATGGAACAGCAGTGGTGCAAGGACTGTACCTTGAGGTACAGAGCTTTTAACTGCGCTCAGACTCAATTTTACTTGATTGACTGTTACTCTTTGTGTTCTGTTCGACAGGAAATTGAGTATCCAGCGTCCTACTTTACCAGTTATACCTATTGACCTCATTTTGTGTGCAAAGTGAGGTCAATGGAATGAATGTACCCATTCACTACTGGGTGAACACCAGGTACCCATTCACTACTGGGTGAACACCAGGTACCCATTCACTACTGGGTGAACAGAGGCATACAGTTAAGGATTGTCACCGAGTAAATCCTCCCCGGTCAGGATACAAACCAGGCCAATTGCGCTCGCGAAGCGCCGGGCGAGTGTCTTACCACTGCGCCACGCGGACT